TTCTCTAAGCCACTGCTTAAAAATCGGCTTTCTTCTTTTGTTGATGCCTTCTCCACTATGTTATGGTCATGGGATTTTTTTCCATGTAGTTCTTGGAGATTTAAGAGTACTTCTTGGAGGTTTGGAAGTTGTCTTGATATGGGGATCCCACACCAACCTTGATTAGCTTCCATTTTTCATGTCAGTTATCGACCTCCCTGCAGGTGCAATCCACTCCCCAAATGGGACATTGGAATGAGGGGTGTATGTTCTGCCTTGCCGGGTTCTCTAAGGTATTCCCCTTTTTTTGAAGACAAAATTTACCTATCTATCTTGAGCATTTCTCCTTTGCTGATTAGGGTTGAATTTTTCCAATTCTTTGGTTGCCTCCTTATTGAAAATTGAGCTACAACGTGGGCAGAGCATGACCTTTAATACTTTTAGCCTACATATGTTCAAAATAATCAATGAGTTATTCTTCAGCTTTAAGAAAAACGACTTTCACCTGCTCTTCATATATGGCATCAACCTCCTTTGGGTCGATGTTGTCATCCATATCGACATCAACACATCTATAGGCTCAAAAAAGAGAGTCTCTCCTACTTTTGCATCATCGTCCTCCTCTTCTCGAGGCTTCAATTTTCTGCAAACTTCAACCTTCCTACTTTCAAAGCGTTCTGCATTAGATCCCCGTAAAGTACACATTGAGAAGTTTTATGACCAAGGAAATTATGAAATTAAAAAAATCTTTTTTCTTTCTTTGTTCCAATGGCGATTTCTTAAGCCCTTTAGGGATTACGATTTGGCCACCAAAGACTAAAAGATCAAATATTTCTTCACACTTAGTTATATCATACATGTATGTTTTTGTGATGAACTTCTCATTACTAGGCTTAACATGATTTTCCCATGCAAAGGCTTTAGAAATTTACATACATAAGGAGGCCATGGCTTTAGCTTTGCCACATTAACCTCATTTGCTTCAACATAGTCGTAATCTATTTCAAACAAGTTTTCTACCTCGTCTACTTCGACATATGCGACTTTCTCTTTTTTATGGTATTTGCTCAACCTAACTTTTTCAGCTTTCAAGTGTTTAACTTGGCGAACTCTGTTTGGTAATTGAGTCATATCTCTTAAGTACTGGATGTCTAGTTTCTTCCTAATGGAATATTCTAAACCCCTTGCATCCAATTAGAATAATTCATGTTTAGGAACTTGAGTAAAGCACCTTGACTTCATTATCCTAAACCTGTTAAGATAGTCGTCGTCTATTGATTCATCCATTTTTCGCCTCAGTTTGGCTAATTCCTTGAGGCTAATATTAGATTGCCACATCTGTTTGTGGAACACCCTTTCTAATTGGCTCCAATTAAATATGGAACATGGAGGCAACGTGGTAAACCATATAAAGGCGTTATTAGTTAGAGAATTTAAGAATAATTTCATCTTTAAATTCTCATTATTTGCTATGTCTCTTGCCTCTGATTGGTATCGCGCTACATGTTCGATAGTGGACTCATTAGTATCCTCTGCAAACTTAGTAAACCTATGGATTTTCCAGCCCCTTGGAAATTCAGTTTGCAACACATAATCAGATAGAGCTGAGACAAAGTTTGGCATATGTAAACCAAAATTGAGGTCATTTTGAACTATAATGTGTTCGACCATATTAGATATGTTATTTTTCGCGGCTAAATTATTCTGCTGGACTTTTTAATGACTTGGTCGGCATCCTGGTTCCTATTTACCGTAATTAATTCTAGGCCATTGTGGTCCGCGTTGTCTTCGACTACCCTGGGTATGGGTGGTTTGAAGGCATCGCTGGTTATGGTATCTGGTTATAAGGTAATCGCTGGATCCACACTTGTGGAGCACCTAAAAAGTCTGCAATTAGACCCATTTAATTGTTGACAACTATTGTTAGTGTTCTGAATCAACAGATTGAACACATTGCCAATTTGTTGCATCAGCATGTTAACCATCCCATAGTTACTCTCATCCATCTATTTCCTCATAGATAATAGGATAATATTAGTTTGAGTCGGCATAACTCGTGGTTGCACCACTCGCCCAAGGTTGCTTGTTGTAGATCCTGCTGTCAAATATTGATTTAACAGTGACACTATCATCACAGCTTTATCTGCAAATGTAGAAGCATAGCTTTGCAAGCCTGCCATCATAGAGGTCGGCAATGCCCTACGGATAATCTATGATGCATAGAGGTAGCGTAAAACTCGGGACATAATGAGGCCACGGGTCCCCTACAACGATCTAAGTAACCCTGGGATTTGTTGGGGGATGTTCACCACTAGTGGTAATGAAATAGAATTGACGTCGAACTGGATATATGGCTTACAACGGGTTTGGTTACTCCAATAGTACTTGAAGTCCCTATGCTAATAGCCATTGACTCAACTGATTGTTCTATGTCTGGGGGTTATTTTGGGGGGAAAGTTTTTTTTGAATATCCCATTTCAATTAGGGCTTTAACAAAAGCATAAAAATCCAAACATAAAAAAGATTGTCCTATAACAAAGGATTAATAGAAAAAATGTAACACTTTCTTGCAAAACTTTTGAAAATTGCACAAAAGAGTCTCACTAGGCGTGCTAATTTTTTCTCGAGTATTTTTGGCAAACAATCACGAGTTTGATTAGCTTGTGACATTAAATCGAAAAATCTCAGGAGAAATCTTTGCAAATTGAATGTACGAGAAAGTGTGTGTTTGCGAATTAATTGTGCATGTTTGTAAAAAGGAAAAAATGGAAGAAACTTTAAGGAAATGTAAAGACAAATAAAATAAAAGGACACAAACTTGTACATGTTCCTCACAAACTGTTTCGCTCTTTGGCTCAGGTACTCTAGTTCTATAGAGAGATGTATGAATTTTGCAACCCCAAATACACTCTATGAGTCTGCTATTTATACTACTCTAAAGATAACTGTCGATAGCGGTTAATCTCTAAAAGATCGGACACGATTCCCACTACTTGAACATCCATGTTCTTACTTGTCTTCTTGTGACTTCAGAGAAATAATTGTTGAGGAACTAGTTCGAACTTTCCAACCACTACCAAGCCTATCTGATTAAGTTCCATTAGAGTTTGTCGAAGTGTTTTCTTGCTTAACTAATATATGGACTTATAAACTTATTCTAAGTCATGGACAGCTGGTGACCCTGTCGGATCCAGTCATTTTATCGAAATCCCCTTTTTGAGATTTTAGACATGTTTAGAGGAGAGGGTGATCCTAATATAATGGGTATGCTCTTGAGATTCTTCCAAACCAAATTTATCACGCTTCGTCGAATGCTCTTGGTTCAACGTGTTTGATACGTTGAACCCCTTTCTTTCGAGAGTCCTCAATACTAGTTATCTTTCAATGTAATTAACTAATCTTATTTATTGACCTTCTGGCATTTTTTGTTGACTTTCTCCGACTAGAATTTCCAGATTAACACTTACATAGACAATGTCAATTTTAATAGTTTATTCATTTTAAATATTTCAAATAATAAAATACAAACTAAAATATGAATGAACTAATCATACAACTAATATTTTAAATAATCTAAATCAAATAATCTAAGTTATCAAAATAAATAATTAAGCACAATTCGATATTTGAAACTAACATCAAAAAAATTAAGTAATAACAAATATTCTACATTCAAAACTATCATAAAAACATGATCCGTTTGAGGTGGATATTAGCATCCATATTATTTGTCTCAAACTCGGACATGAACTCAATTAAAGAAGATTTTCTTTGTCAACTCAGAGAATAGTTTGTGTAGGTAATTACGGGTACAAATTCTTTAGTCATGCCCAGAACATACTAACTAGGTCACATTTGACTTTTATGCGTCTAGTGTAGCAAGTCATTATGCATGAACCAATAAAAATATATTTGGAAGTTGTTGACCAAATCTTACAATATCTCAAAGCTACTTTAGAAAGACAAACTTTAAAAGAGGTGAAATTTAAATACGAAGACACACATCTATACATAGATGTTGATTATACAAATTTAGTAAGTAATCGAAGATCCACTTCTGATTATTGTATTTTCTAGTGCGGTAATCCTCTTACTTAGAGAAGCAAAAAGCAAAATTTAATGACTCAATCATATGTTGAAGCAAATTTTAGAGTCATGAAACTATCGAGTAATAGGATTACCAAATGGGTAAGAGGATAACTACAACCTAACATTCTTTCAATAGTAGCTAACAAATGTATTAATAAAAAATTTACCAACCAAACAATTCAACCAACTTTCTTCCAAGATAAAAATGATTGATATTTTCTTCCAAGAGAAAATATTAAGTTCAATCTAAATTCTAAGATGATATCAAAATCAACCTAAAGTTCGTTGAGTCACTTATCAAATATCCGTTTTCGAGTCATCCATCATTTATATCTACCCATCAACCTCATTGGTGCGTAAGATGTGTTAACATTTCTAGAATTCCATTGGTCTAAACCTATTCTTATAACTTGAAGAAATTCTCACCTTTTGTAAGATTGAATTATATCTATAATTTTCTCTGTTTAAACAAATTATATATATTATATTAACATAACTTTAAAATATATTATAAAACATTTTTCTACATCTTTACAAAATTCTCACTGCCTAAAATGGAATGAGAAGTTGAAGGACAATGAAGATTAGAAGGTAAAAAAAGAATGAAATAATGAGATGTACACGTTCATATGACCTGTAACCTATGCACACCATATAGCCCTGAAAAAAATGCAAGGAAGCTGATAAAAGATACACCTCCTTGCTGGAAGAAAATCAATGCACAAGGGACATTATTCAGCTAACTATCTGATTGATAATTTTTGCCCCTAAGCAACACATCGATCCAACTATGAATACTGTTGCCAATCCCTTGTCAAGAAAGCTGCTGCTAGTGCAACTTTTCCAAGGATCTTCTTGTGCATATCACTAATATGAGACAGTTCTATCAAGAAGCTTGACTAAATGAGAATCACCATCCTTTCTATCATTAATCAACAACCAGCAGCCTTCAAGAAGTTGTCATAAGGGCGTGATACTGGCAGTTGAAAGAAGGCATCCTGTTGCTGATATGATGTGGCACAAAGCCTAGGAGCAGTCTCCGGCAATGTGCTGGGTGAATTAGAGCCTAAGTTTGAATCCAAGAATGGATTAACACTCTGCAATTCAAATGGCACAGGAATAAGATTCTTTTATATATATAGGAAATAAGTAAATTTCAGCTTTTTAAACATAGATGAAAACGACATCCAATAAACAGGTCACTAGGTCAGTGTAGATTTTAGTTTTACATGGGTCCCTAAAATATTTAGAAACTTCTAACTAAGTTCTTGAATTAAATTTTTTTGAAGATATCTCAAAGCATATCAAATTCCAAATTTCAAAACTATAGAAAGTAAAGCAGTACCACCAAAGGTAAACTCTTTTGAACATTGGAATTTGTAGGTTCGTCCTTTTCATTGTTGAAATCTGGAGTAAGAATCCTGAATGAATAGCCATGTAATGGATGGGCACCCATGAAAGTGGAAATCTTTTGTTGCTTTCCGGCGAGGAGGGCCTCACAATGGAGAGCCATTTCTTTATACGGCATGTTAGAAGGTGTTGAAACAGAAATCCTTCCTACATGATGTGTTGTCTCTAGAACCTGCAGACCAGTCCATTTTACAACTCATTATTTTTTATAATTAATAATAGAAATCCACGAGGAAATTGAAGAAATAAATGGGTGAGTGTTGAAGAGTATTTTTCAAACCACAATTTATTCTATTCCCAACAGTCCATATAGCTATTAAGAAAACAATTCGCTCAGAACTCCAGCATTTGACTAATTAGCCATTAAATGTGGAGTTCGGTAAAATGAACATCCAGCTGCCTAAAATTGCAATCTTTTGAGTTCCCTAGGATATGAAGTTTCATACCCTAGGAGGCATGGACAGACACCCGAGTACTCAACATATTAGAAATGTAACATTAGAATTTGGGAAAACCATCATTTTGGTCTGGAACTGTAACCTTGTCACATTGGTCCCTGAATATATTAAAATTGCAAACACGTCCACAATTTTCTCTTTAATTAGTCTTTTTGGTCCTCGAATCTTTTTTAAAAAAAGTCATCGAATGTGTTTTCTGTTGTTCAATTTAGTCCATAAAATTACTAACCAGAAAGACACTAGGGATGTGTTTGCAATTTTGATACATTTAAGGACTATATAGATTAGTAGTCTGCACATTAGAATTTGGTGTCAGACCTGTTTGAGACAAGTGTCAACACAGACAGGGCTCCTTATTTTGGAGCTTTATTGCTTGTGTCATGTCTTAAGACCAACACAAACACAACTCTTTAATCCATTGTTCTCCTTTGCAGTATAAATTGCTTTACACTATCAAGAAGGTACTTCTACTGTTTTCGTTTCATTCATGGCTAATAGGTTAAAATACAAAACAGCCAAGCTTTGGGAATTGAACTTTAAAATTGTTAATGATATGTCTATAAAGTATTTTTAGGTTGTTTCAATAAGGTATCCAGGATAACTTATACAAACAACTTACAGCTTATATGAAAACAGTTTAACTAGATTTGCAATTTGATTACAGATATAATTTATACATAAATGTTTATGATAAGCACTACTTCATTCAGTACTTGTTAAGTTGTTTACCCAACTCACCCTTAATACCATGTCAAGAGATAAATCAGCCCAAAACCTAACCAGTGGGTGTAGGTCTCAAAATAGTTTATCTCTAACAATTACAATTCTAAATGTGTGTTTGGATTAGCTTATTAAAATATCTTATAATAAAAATAGTTTTAGGGGAGCTTTTGAGAAAAGTCAGACTTTTCATTTTCCCTTACAACTTAAGTAAAACCAAACATGTTATGAGTAATGTACATATCAATTAACAGAAAAACTTACTGAACCCAAAATGTCATCAACACTAATTAGGCTTAGATTTTCTGAAGGCTGTTGTTGTGCATCAGTATTAGCTTGGCTTTCCAAACCACGAGCTGGAATGTCATCATCAATAGTAAATAATGGAATATCAACCTGCATAATTTTATGTAGGTGAACTGTATGGGTTAAAATACAACAGAAATATTTTTTAATTAAAATAAATGTTGAGAACAAAGCTATGCAAATTACCATATCAGAGTGTTTATCATCCTTTAATCCAGTCTGGTGAATATTTCCTGTCGTATCAAGAGATAACTGGACTCCCAATGGACAAGCATCATCTGGTGAAAAGTTATTAAGCAGCCGTTCTTTTAACGTGGATGATTCCTGCTACACAAAAGACTGTAAGTTAATACACTGATCCTGATAAACTAGTGCAACATTAAATGATAAACAAATATAAATGGTTGTTACATTTGAAAGTTCTTCTAGACTCTGCACTATCATAGTAACAAATGATTCATTTGACTGGCTTTCAGTTAGTTTTATCGATGAAAGTGACTTCAAAGCCTCTTCATCATCCTCTTTTGATCCATAAACTTTACTTGGCTGGTCAGATGTATCAACCGTAGCTTGTAACTTGCTATCATTAATCAGTGTAAGGAAAGGATCAACCTGGAAAGAAGCATGAAAAACTAAGAGATACAAAGGAATGATTTTTCATCATATAAAAAAACCACTAGGACGTAGGTAGATAGTAGGGAAAAAGAGAAAATTGAACAACTTAATTGCAAATCATTGTAATCAACACAAGATGTACATACAGTTTTATCTGTCAATGTCATTTTGGCGATAGATATGAGAGAGAGGATGTTGTAGGCCTTGGATGTGAAGATAATCATGGATGTTGCTAGTGTAAAGAGAGACCTGCGGCGTGATGCTTGCAGTTTAACTGGAAAAGAGAAGTGTTTCAAAACCAGGCACGTTAACAATGGTTCACAATTTTAAGCCATTTCATCAAAAAGCAACTTAAAACAAACACAAATAAACTATATCTAATATCAGAGCATATGCCATGATAAATAAAAAGATATACTATAACCGCCTGTTCTATTTAGTTGAGTATGTAAAATGTAAGCTGAAGAATTCTGCATATCATGGAAATCCTAACTGCAAAACTTCCCTGTTCACTATGTTACATCATGCACCACATTAGCATTTTGCCATTCCATGTTCAATCTTTTTAAAACAGATATTTGATAATGCATATGAATCCTGATAAAAATTTAAGGCTCCCGCCTAATAAGTTCAAAATGTAAATCACCATCTCATGACCTTTTCATCCATAAAGCTATTCTAGTTATGTGATTAGAAAAATGGAAAAGTTAAAGCAGTGAGCCCAGGATGTCAACTGAAAAGGAAAGGTATATGATTAGAGGACAATGGAATGGAGAATATTCTGCAGAAACTCGGTTCCCAAATTTTAACCTTTCTCATTAAAAAGGAATGATCGGTCCTGTCTTTGCTGAATAAAGGATAGAAATGAAATTGCTACTCATATCTCCTTTACATATTAAATTAAAGAATTTCCATTCTTGCATACTTGAGGCAGGAAAGGAATGTTTCTGATAGGACTCCCCATATGGTCCAGAATGTTAGGGAAGCAGATGGTGACATGTTAGTGGGCCTTAAGAATGATAAGCCTATTATTTTGAAGGCTGTATGAGTGCAGGAACAAGAAAGAAGAAGTGAGAGAGTCTCACTACTCTGTTTCAAGCATGAGTTCATTAATTTCTCTACTCTATCATTTTCCTTCTTTCTTTTGTTCATTTAATTTCTCTACTCTATCAGTTTCCTTTCCTGAGTACCAAAACTTCCCTTAAAAGGAAAGAATGGGAACAAAATCATGTGATTCTAAACATGAGTTCACAAGATATCCATTTATATCATATGTCGCTGATATATTGAGCTTACCATCCTTAGAAAAGACAAAGTAACATACAAACTTTAAATAAAATAGATTCAAGGCTCTACCGTTTTTATTGAGAGAAATGCTCCTCAAGGAAAATGCCAACTGGAAACTTTGAACTAGAGCCTCATGAGAAGAATTCTGCAGTAACCAAAGCTTACAAGTTACAAGGATAAGATAAAAGATAAACTGAAAAATAGCTTTAGCCGTAAAAAAGTTGCATGAATGTTTACTTACAAAACCACATAGTAACTAATGACTTGTAAACCACTTGCAAAAACATTTAATTGTATGTAAAGTTGTGAAGGTACTCCAACAAATAATACAGAACTTGAGTGAATATTAAAGACCATAAAAATCAAAATTGACTTTGAAAAATTAATTTAAATTCTCCCAATCATATAAATGTCTTCATTCACTAAATCTCATTCCGAGATAGCCACTCATTTATCCATACCCCCATGGCCCTATCTTTTCAACTCTAAGGAATTTATTGAGGGAATTGGCAGATTAATCCTCAAAATTGTGAGCATTGGTCAACTTTTTCCGTAAGAGGCAATGCCATGATATGATAAATGAACATGTGGTCTTCCACGTGGACTCCACATCAATGTCACGTCACCATGAATTTATAAGACCTGTTAAACATGTGCTTTCATGCCAATTCTAAGGTTGTTAACTCGAGATCAAACATGCCAGGTAATTTGTACCTGATAAATTTCATATGCAATTAAGTCTCATATCCACATGAAACAAGATATGGTCATTTAGTGTGTAACGCCATAGCCTTAATGACATAAATTAACAAAGTGGCCATTTTGACTAACATGTTACAATTTTAGGGATCTATTTTCTAATTCCTAAATTAAGGAACTTAGACCAATGCTCACAATTTTGAATCCAAATTTTCCTATTCACTCAATGTATTTCGGGTTAAATAAGATAGTTGTGAATGGAAGTTATCATCTGAATCAAAAGCATACTCTTTTCTTCTACAAATATCAAATGCATCATTGCTAACAAGAACACTTTTCACAGCATTTTGATCATCGTCGTAAATATATCCATCATTCTTCAAATCTTTCATATGATCTTCATCCATAAGAGAAATTTGTTCACATTCACCTCATCTTATTCACCAAAGTTGTACATCAATTACCCATCTTTCCCAAAAGGTTTTAGATATCTATATTCATCCCACAGAGGCTTCAAGTCATTGAAGTCAGTTGAGTCGTGCAAGTTATTCTGCAATTACACCCTTTCCAATTGTCCCAAACTTCATTTTCCTTTTTCTTACATTGAAAGCTATCAGTGACCCTCTATGCAGAAATTCTGTATAAACTTACCTAGCTCCCCTTTATGTCAAAATTATGCCTTCCCCTGCCCATTTTCCCTTGGATGTCCAACCTACACCCTCCTAGAAAATTTTTGTCTCCCAAATGTATATCTTGGACTAAACCCTCAAAAACCACTTACAACGTTACCCTGTGTTTCTCTTTGACCCCTACTTACAAAGAAACTCTTCATAAATTTTATAATTTAGTTGGAATGCATTGTATTTTAATTGATTTTAGTTATATTTTAGTTGGTTGCTTAAATTTTCCAACCATGCTTCTAAAATTTTAATTTACTATGAATATAAGAAAAATTATGTGTATGCCTGTGTGTGTCACATTCGTTACAACTTTAGAAAACATGTTGGTTAATTCCATTAATCATAAACATTTTGATCATGTAGTTTCTAACATCGTAAGGATATGGTAATCCTTGTCTTGACATTAAAGCTTATTTCAATTTCTACCAGTGATATAAACTGCATGTTATTATATATGAGTAAATTATCTGAGTTTGTGGTTAACTTTAGAACAACTTTATAAATTATCACATATACTATAATTAAGGAAGCAGGCATCAGAATCATTTTTAATAAATTGAAATTACTAAAAAATTAAATAATTGCAATGGGCAAAAGATATATGTCTATGAGACGATTTTTATTTTGTTAAAAGTTAAATTACCAACTTTTATGAGAAAGTTGGTAAACTGAAAAAGCTCTGTTAAAAGTTGGTTGACTTGTCCATACTGGAAAACATTTTTTTCAATATATGTATAGATGGTAAAATACAAGATTTGTCACATTACCTTACTCCGAGCAACTAGCAGGACAAGGCAGTAGGTATGAGCAATTGCTTCAAAATTTTCAGGTGTATTCAGGGGATAGATGGACTGGACCCAGATTGATGATAGTAAAAGGGTAATCTGATGAGTACTCAGCCTAATCGGCAATACCTGTGGCATGATAGTCATAAGAATGATAGTATGTGGTGGTCTTTGATTGGTATGTTCTAAAATAAGTACAGGTACATACCTGTTGGTTATCGGAACTATTTAGAGCATTTTCTTCAACAGGTACAGACAATTGAGGCCTCTTCACACTAGTTACCCGGCTGTAACTTGACTTCAATCTATTCATCATAGAAGGGTTATTAGCCAATTTTCTTGAACTGGTCCGACTATAACTTGACTTCAATCTGTTGAGAACGGAGCCATCATTGCTCTTTCTATCTGACTGACTATCTTCTTCCGAGGAAAGTTGCTTCTTCTCCAATTTCTCAAAGAGTGCAGCTGAAGAAGAAAACACGGAGACATTTCTCGAGAGCATTCTCTGAATATCAGTTGACTTTGGCATTGGGGGATTTGAAGAAGAAGGTTGAGGACAAACTGACGATGGCACAAGAACAACAGAAAATATGCGGTGTGCACCCACTCTGGTTTCAGGGTCTGCATGGACCATTGCCAGGAGTAACTGATGAAATAATGCCTCGGGGAATGCCTAAAGAAAAGAGTTTCAAGTTTACAGACAACCAGAAAAAGATGAGAAGAAAGAAGTAATGGAATATTACAGTCGCTGCCAATCAAGCAATTTAAGTAACTTGCCTTGTTCTGATATGACAAATTGGGTATAGAAGCAACTATTTGAGAAGTTCTATAAACTGCGGCAATCAAGGTTCTGGCCATAACTGTAATATTAGACATGTTTTCCAACAACACTGCCATGGTATCAAGAACAGGGCCTGCGTCTGAAATCTGCAAAACATTATAGCCAGTAACCGTAAAAGAATATTAGATCAATTAACATTAAACATCCAAGGTTCACAGTCAAATATGCACATAGATCTACTTGTTTATCTAGTTTGATACAATATTAAGTATTAACTAAAAAAGTTATATTAAAAAGTTGGGCCTTTTTTGTCACCTTAATTGTTAGCTGTACAAGGCATTCATCTACTTCCATTCTGTATTTTTGGTTCCATTGTATTACTTCAGCCCCTAAGTTTGAATCATCAATAGAGCAGTGTATGCTTTTTCGCAGGTGTCTCATCATATCACTCAATGCACCGATTATAGCCACAGATTGCTGAACTCTTGTTTGTTGAGCAAGATGGGTAATAACACCAACAATATCAAGCTGCATATTAGGATTCTTTAAGACATTCTTGTGATCAAGGTGCTTAACTAAAATGGACAGCAACAAGTGTGTATTCTGTCCTGTAAATATGGTGAACCCAATTACAAACTGTGTAGATAGGATAAAGAAACTTTGACGGAAAGCTGATATCAAAGCACTCAAGAAAAGAAATACCAGCATTTTCAATTATAGACTGCATGTCTAGCAAGACAGATAGAGCAAGCCCGTGATCTGGAGACCAGAGATTGGCATTATCAAAATAGCGGAAAAGGGATTCCAGAACACGCCGTACAGTGGTACCTTCCTTGGCTAACTTAGCCATATTTTGTATGCAAACTCGCGACCAAAATCCAGGATTCACAGCATCTTCCCTGTGGAGGAAAAACGAATTTAACATCAGTTATGACAGACGAGTAACTCCAAACATAAGCTAATAAAACAAGAAGGGCAGTTACATAGGCACATTGACTTCTCCTTTGGCATTCACTACCACTTTCCATGAATAAAGCCTAGTGGAATTCTCATTTTGAGAATCTTGCTTGATATCCCCATAGTTTTCCAAAACAACCGAAACAACCTGAGTTAACAAGAGATGCATGCTGTTAAATGCAAGAAGTGTATAGGGTAAGACAAAAGGGTCATTGAAAATGTTATGATGTTCAGATGATAGATAAATTTAGTCAACATGGTGTTTCTCTCTTACAATTAGTATATAATATGTTGTAATTTAGTTCATTCATCATATGACAAAAACTATAGTAATTAGTCACATGACTATTAAACACCTGGGTCAATGAAAAGTTGCTGGTTTGAGAAGTACCAAAAAACTACAACCAATCACTAATGTCTTTTTTTCTGCATGAGAAATGGAAGATACTTTAAAAGAAATGTAAATAGATTACTAACTCACATTGTCAAATTCAACTGAAATATGAGTGAACTCACCCATGAACCAAACCTGTAAAACATAAAAAAAATCTTATCAATTACACTTGAGTTGTGGAATCAATCTCTTGCAAAGGCAAGGTAAGACTGCCTATAATAGATCCACAAATTTCACCGTTCCCTAAACCCTACAACGAAGGGAGCTCCGTAGCACTGGGTAGCCCTTTTTACATATTATCTTCTCTTTTGATAACTATTAAGTATAGACATTGAAAAAAGGATTAACTTTAAAGAGAACATGAAACCGTAGACAAATATTATGGACCCATTTTTCATAGACATGATAAAGTAAGCATCATATTACCATTGCCGAAAGGACTTGAAGCCCAGAAGCTCTCAAATGCTCTATTTTTGCATCATCTCCCATTTGTTGAGCTAGATGGCACAGTTTTAAAATGAACCCATCTAAATTAAACATATAAGTACCATCCCTCTGCACGGGTAAGATAAGATAATATACAAGCTCAAACTCCCATGTGGAAAAATTTATAGTTGTAAATGTTTAACCATTTAAGAAAATAATGAACTATCAGCAAACTCATAAATTGAGAACCTACCAAAAATCCCCCACCTGATTGTTCACAAAGTCAAACAAGGTCTGGCATCCTAAAATCTGCACTTCGTCGTGCCGTGTTTGATCGAGAAGAATTTGTATGATGCTAAGCAAGCTACTTGCAAACAAAGGCCTGCCACAATAATATTCAAATAAGTCGTACGTAATGAAAATGATTTCATTCATAAGGTTGAGTTAGGCCCAATTCAAATTCTAAGATAGTATCAGAGCCTATCAAAGATCCGTTGGGCTGCCTATTACGAGGTTTCCGCTATCAGAGCATCCACTATTTATATCTATGCACCAAGCCCAATAGTGTTTGGCATGGGGAGGTGTGTTAAGAGTCTCATGCCAAATGAGATATGTGGAGACAATCCTCACCTTACAAACCGGTTTTGTAAGGTTGAGTTAGGCTCAACCACAATTGAGTCAATAATTTCTTTAGGAGACAATTTTTTCAAATGGGTGCCAAAAACCTAAGAAGACTTGAGCCTATAAAACAATGAAGCTCTTACAATTCTAAATAAATATATTTCCTTATAAAACGACTTCCAAACTTTCTATTCACAATCTTCGGTCAAGTTATGCTCTTACAATTCTAAATAAATATATTTCCTTATAAAACAACTACCAAACTTTCTATTCACAATCTTCAGTCAAGTTATGCAAAATTATATCATATGTCTGATATGTAAATGCAAAAACGATCACATCTATAAAACACAGACACATACACCTAATATGACATAGACACAAGTCAAATATCAATATCGGATGATAAATATTGAATCGCGTAGCGGGAAAATAGAAGAAGCCGCACAACGATTAAAATAAATATTTATGTAGAAAATAAAACATGTCACACACAAATAAAAGCTACATAAACATATGTTAAAAAAAATTCGGACATTCAACTGAAAATTTCAAGTTCCATTCCAACAACTAAAACAGAAAGAGCGACCGAAAATGAATGACCAGGAAGAATGAACGGATACACTTTTTACTTTTTCAATGTTCCACCTCTTAACATTTTAATCTTTTAATGTTCTTTTTTCCACCTCTTCACATTTTTCTTTTTCCACCTCTTCACATTCTCCTCTTTAATGTTTTTTAATAGGATTTGTTATAAAAAATAATAATATTATTGGTTCCGATATTCAATTCATAACGGTATACCGGCAATACTGGAAAAGCATCGATATCTTGAGCATCACGGAATTGAAATGCTATACCGGCTTTCATATTGGATAGCCAAAATTCCTATATGCAATACCGCTATACCAGTGCTACACCGGATATTTAACAATGGTAAAAATTTAAGAAAAGGAATAAATAAATTTAATCTCATGTGTCAGTGTCATGTCAGACAGTAACATGTATGACACATCATACCCGCCTTCAATGTGAAGTGTCAGCGTCGCACTATATGCATACTACACTAATCAATTTTACTAACAGTAACCCTAATTGTTATCTCAACAAACATCCTAAGTATAATGAAAAATAACTCACATTTGATCTCTACAAGAAACCAGCAACTTTCTATAAATACAAATCACAACTTTCACAGCTTGATAATTCTCACTCCTCAATTCCTTATAACACCTTTGCTCAAGATAGCTGGTTATCTGAAACAGTCAAGGACAACAGTCATTTTACAAAATCAGCAAGAAACACCAAAAATGAAGAAACCATTCCATTTTACAATTACAATTCACATGCCTTAGGAACACGAAGAGGATTTTTGGATGCATACTCGCATAGTTTGCTGATCTTACGATCATTAGGTTCTTCTTCCTGTTACAACAATATATATCATCATTATCATCATCATCACCATCATCAATCGTCATTATAAATTTCAAATCTAATCTAGCAGATACATTACAAATTCACAATTACAAATTCGCAACAAATCAATTACAAAAAATCGACCTGCGTGCGAGGAAAGATATCGGCTAACAATTTTTTGTAACGTTTGATCGGATGCCGGGATCTCTCACGCAATGCAGGACAAAAGCAACACAAACTGCCGCAAACAGGCCAAATGTTTCGCGAAATCACGCTCATCTTCTCGGAATTACAAATCTAAACCTAAAATCAATTTTATAGATTAACAACGCGATAATTGATCGACGATAATTGAAAAAGAAGAGTTAGAGTAATGAGAATTGGTTGATGAGGATTATCGTAACAGAATGGAGATGGAAAATGGAGAGAAAGAGGAAAGGAAAGAGCGAAATGTTGTTGATAGGGCGATAGCAACGTCGAAATGAGAGGCTCTCCGAATACGAGATGTGATTGATCTTTCTTCTCTTTCCCTTTTCCTTTTCTCTTATTTCATTTTTCCCCTTTCTCTTCTTTCTTTCTTTTGCGTTTGTCTTTTAATTTATAGTCTTTCTTTTGTTTTTTTTTATCGATCTCTCTTTTGGATTGTGTGTATTACGACACCTTTTTCTTTGGGACCACACCTCATAACGTCTCCTCTTTTTTTCCCTCGCGACTCTCGGCAACCGAAAAACACCAACATTCAAAAAAAAAATTTTAATATCTATTATTATTTATTAAATCAAAATTTATCAAATTATTCAAAGAGTAACTTTCAATGGAATTTTAGTCCAAAAAAATTTTCAAGTTTAATTTTTTAGTCAATTTTTTTTTAATAATATTTCATTAATTAAAATATGATCAATACAATATGGTATTTTTATCAATAGTTAGAAGTTAGTTAAAGTGTAGTTGACTGTTAGTTGAAATTTTGACGCTAAGAAGAAATTGAGATATCAAGAAAGTTTGAAGGAATGTTTGAAGAAAGTAAGTTGAAGTCGTAGTATTTTCAACTAGAAAGGTTTGGTGGAATTTTAACGGACATTAGTTGAGGGAGTTTTGTATCTTCAATGAGATATCGTTTTGGGACTTAGCATATTTTGGACTTAATTGATGTTAATTTTGATGGAGTAATTTGAAACAAAGTCAGTTAACAGTTTTTTGACCTTATACATTCTTGAAGGACGCGTGAAAGCTTATGAAAGACGATGTACATGCAAGCGAGAACATGTCATTCTCTGGAGAGGAGACAGTTTGTAACACCCTTCTAAATCCCACATATTATTCACGAATAACTTAATTAAAAACCACCACGCAAGGGTGCCACATCGCCATAATAAAACAACATAAATATTCAATCCTGCTCCGTAACACGGGTTACAATAATTACAACCATATAACTTCAAAATTTAATTTAAAACGTCGCAGCAGAATCAACGTTATAACACCATACTTAATTTCTCAAAACTCATAACAGACTAGTCTCAATCCAATGTTGGAATTAAAATCAGTTTAACAATCAAAAACCTCCATAAAGTATGTCAACATAAAAGGAACATAACATTCGCAAAATAAAGCATTCCCAACCCGATGTTGCGTATCAGAGCAAGACACCTCTAATTAAAGGAAACTAATAAAATACTCCAAAACTATCTTCAATGCTCTTACAAGCTACTCATGAGCATCTGCATGTTACCCACGTGGAGACAACATTCAAACACAAATGGTGAGTAATCACAATTTATTATAAAAGATATAAGGAAAAGATTAGTAGTTATAAACGACATCATCTTATAACAACACATATCATTCATTAACAATGCATAATCACTGGTACATCATAATAGTGTTTAGACATCTTTCGTCATTAAACCATCACATAATCACATAGTCCACAATTATCATCACATCATAACTCATCAAAAACATTCATGCAATATCACATAGGATGTTAATGCAACAACTGAAGGTGTGAAGAAAACGCAAGAAAGGGGAGTTTGAATAGGGTTTTTCTTTCTTGGTAAACTTTTGTTTCTAAGAATTATTCGTTGAACAATGCTTATAAGTGTTACTTCTAAGTAATGCTTCTAATTAAGTTAAGAAAACATAAACTTTAAAGCATAAGAAAAAGTAAAGAACATGTGATATATCCTAGTTCACTTGAGAAACCCCCAAGTCAATCCAGTCCACCCTACCAAGGTGATTTCACCTTGAACTCAAGGACTTAATCCACTATAACAAATATGATTACAATCACACGGGCAACTGCTGGTGACTAACATCCAATGACGCGTTCATGGATCCAAATCAGATATAATATTCATTGACCTAACAGAATCTGATTCTTCATAATCTCCTATTAGGATTTCCTTCCAATGATATCCATCAGTAATCTCAAAAGGCTGACCTTCACTCGGTCCTCTTTGAGATATGACTACCATTGACCCAATAGAATCCACTACCAGGATTTCATTTACGATGACCGCAACCAAAGTCTTCTTGAGAATTCTGACTCAACCGAATCTCTTAAGGAACCATCAAACAATTGTTTGATTTACATTTGTTTACAATAATAATGCTTCTACACAAGCTGGATGTAAACAAAATTAAGTATATCAGAAGAATCTAATACACACTAAAAGATATTACATTGTATTGTAGCTTTAATGTATAGTCTTTTTTTCTTCAAGTAGCTTATTCACGGACAACAGTCCAAAGCACTTGAATTGTTGAAGTCTTCTTCTTTATAAGCTTTTGAAAGCTTTGTTGATATTGATGTAGTAAGGAGAATAACTTCTTCATCTTGATTCACCTTAGAACATTCTGGACAGCAGCCCTTGTTATATTTTCTTCAATGATCACTTTAGAGGATAACATTTGTGTTGTGGATTTGTAACAGGAGCTTTCATGATCATCTTCATTATCTTTTGCGGCTTAGCAAGCTTTGTGCAGCATATGAAATTAAGCATTTTATGAATCAATGACCTTATTGTAATCACTATCGACATGATTTAAGAATCATTTTGATAACAGTTATTCTTGTTGTTGTTATAGCGGTTGATAACTTTATGGTTGTGTTCCAATAGTGATAGTTTCATTTTTTAACATGAACACTTGCAATAACAACTATTTTAAACATATGATTCTTTTCTTATATAGTCAAGCAAAATAAAGTCGTTGACTATTTGAAAAAGAGTCGTTACAAATAGTATGGGTACATCCTTTTCTCTTCCACAATTCAAGTTAGTGGAGAGTTTGTGGAATAAGGCTTTTTCATAATGTGTATTATTGTACCATGTTACCGTTATATTCTTTTCGTTTGTACTTCAGAGGCTTCTGCGAGCATGCGTTTAAAAGTGGGAACTTAACATAAGGTCTTCAAAACTTCAAGTCTTCAGAGTCTTCAGAACTGCGTCTTTAGAGTCTTCAGTACTTGGTCGTGAGAACCCTGTTGTAGAGAGCCTTGGATCAGAAGAGCTTCAAGTCTTCAGAGTCTTAAGAGTTGTATCTTTAGAGTCTTCAGAACTTGGTCTTGAGAACCCATTATAGATAACCTTGAACCATTAGAAATTCAAGTTTTTGGAATCTTCAGACCTTCCGTCTTTAGAATCTTTAGCACTTGGTTCTTTAAAAACTCTTATCTTTAGAACCTTGGGTCTTTAGAAACACAAAGTCTTCAACATCTGGACTTCAGTAGAAATATTTCCTTCAGATCTTTTAACTTTGTCTTCTTTGAAACAAGTTGTCTTTTAGAAACTAATTTTTTAGCATCTCAACTTCAGTAAAAACTTTTTCTTCAGATCTTCTAACTTTGTTTCTTTGGAACACATTATCTTTAGAAACATGAGTCTTTAGCATCTGGACTTTAGTAGATACTTGAGTCTTTAGATATTTTGATTGTTTCCTTAGAACACGTTGTCTTTAGAAGCTTGAGTCTTCAACATACTTCAGGGCCTTCTAGAGTATCTTGCTACTGTTCAACATAATTTGTGTAGCACAAAATCAGAAACAATTCTCTTCTAATGTCTTGGTCATGCCATCCATCAGAAGCAGAATCTTCTTGTTAAGTACTCAACAATAACAAACATTAGAGTATCAAAATTGTTCATACAAACATACTCATTTGTTATCATAAAAAATCATAGATAATATTGCAGAACAAAATCTTATTTTTACAATCTCCCCCTTTTTTATGATGACAAAACTATGTATTTTGATGACACGGTTTTGTTCTTATAATAAAAAAAAATGAAAATATAAAGGTAATGAATACTTAGCCTTTTTATGATACTCCCCCTGAGTCAATGATTTGATGAAGATCGAATATTTTGACTCTGAACCATTTGAGTGAAACTCCCCCTGGTTCCAATAGATCAGATATCGAGATCTTTAGACTCTTGACTTTTAATACCAATAGAGTCACTTGAAATCTTGAATTCATCAGAGCTTCTTCTTATTGAATCTTCTATTCAAATTTTTCAGACAGTTTTCAACTTATGAGTTGCTCAGTTCTTCTGGAAAGCATATGCTTTTGCTTTTGATTCTTATGTTCTGAATATCACATTCTCAGACATTTTACATCTTCTGAACATTGTGATACCAATATCAAGATAACTTTAACTTTCAAAAAGTTCTCAACTTCTGAAGAGTATTGGTTCTATCTGATTTTTGAGCATATGTTCACAAAGTATACATCTTCGATTATATGAACAATCAGTTATTAAGAACTTTAACAAAGTCCTTTCATTTTGTTCTGTCTTAGAATGCCTAGTGAACTTGTTCAAATTTCTTCGGTTAACTAACAAACAGACAAACAAGTGTTAGTGGTAAATGCACATTTTATATCATTTAATTATCATGATGCATTTATTTTAAGATTCATCAAAATTATTAAACTTCTCCCCCTTTTTGGCATCATCAAAAAGGTAACTATGTGTGAAAACATAAAAGATTAACAAAAGTAATAATGAGTGTTAATTAGGAAAAGTTGTATTGATGATAGAATTAAAGAGATTACACAACAGAATGGTCGATAACAAAATTAAAACTTATTGAAACCACTAATCATCAAAAGTCTCACACTACTCTTGATGCAGAGCATCACTAGGACCATCAGGAATCCTTCAAAGGATTCTTACAATCTCATTTTGAACACAAACTTCTGACATGATTCTTCCATGGGGAATGAATGTTTTGTTCAAATTTCTAGAGGAAGTGATGGACCTTTTGAGATTATTGAGGAT